GACTGGGCATTTACCCCAAAGAGGCTGATGTCAACAAGAGAAGGGGTTGTCTTTAGTTGTCAACAAGAAGTCTCTCTTCACTTCCCTATGAGAGAGAGATAAGGGGTCAGAGCAAGATGAGAAATTACATTGAAAATATGAAATGCTCTATGCTTTTAACTCAGCTAAGTGTAATGCATGTGATTTCTAACCCCAGACGGTGTTAATGATGCGAAGTCACTGGTCAAAATGCCCAGAAGCTCTGTCCCTGCTTTAAATGGTAAAATGCAGTCTGGATAGAAGTAAGTGTAATGTCATCTAACTTGTATAGCCTTGTAAGATTTTTCATCTATTAGTAAACTACTAAAAAGCTTTTCACATCATAGGTCCAAAGAGGGGGTGGGATTTAGTCACTATATTTTCATCCAAGAAATGCTATTTCCTTACCATCCATGGAGAGATTACAGAAAACACAAAGTTGCCCACATTAGTTGTGTGATGAGTCTTTATTTGGCATCTAGAAAGATAACAGGACAGAAATTTACAGGAAAGACATCATTGGCTATGTGTTGTCAGGCACTTTACACACACTCACTATTTTTCATGCTCCTCAAACCATCATTGTTCCCATGTTACTGATGAGGAAACTGGAACTGATGAATAAATCAAAATCTGTTTGTCCAAGGTCACCGAGCCTAGAAGATGCAGAGCCAGAACTGGCACGCAGTTGCATGACTATGGCAGGACACTTGCCACTTGCCCACATGGTCCAGGGACTCTGCCCCTCTGCCCAGCAAGTCACACAGACACCTGCCTAAGGGCTGCACACTCAGTAGACAGAGCTGATGCCTCCTGTTCTCTGGAAATGGACTCTGGAAATTCAAACCACCAACCTTGGACTTTATCGGATCTTACTGAAGACCAGCAGCCCAGGCTACCTTCCCTCCTAAGATGGGGAACTTGCTTTTCCCACCCAAGTTCCCAGTTTTGGTGCTAGATGGAAAGATGTATTTTTTTTTCTCTATGACCACTATGTTTGCAGTCCCTCCAATTAGCACATTCATTCTTTAAAGAAACACTCAAATTGTTTCTCTGGTTTCTCAGCTTCTCAGGCTCCTGGTCTGAAGGGTCATCGTCTTGTGAAGTCAGGAGTGTGGCACCCAGCAGCTTGGCCCCTCAGCCTGGCCCAGGTGCCTTCAGACACCCACGTGCTCCCCTAGACACTGAAAGAAGCGTGCAGGACCAAAAGGTAAGGCATCTTGATCCCTGGAACACAGCAGCCTGTAGGGCCACCCAGGGAGAAGTTGCAGGTCTCCAAAACATACTTTAAAAATGCTGTCTCATATGAAGGCATCACATCCTGGGGAGGATGGATGAAGCATGTGGTAGGACAATTATGGTGGGCTTTCTGAAGTTGGGGAAAATACTAAAAATGGCCCATGCCTTCGTACATAAGGAAAAATAGGCCCTGCGCCAGTGGAAACCAAGAAGTAAGCCAGAAAGAAACAGAAGCTTCTCTGCTTTTCTTTGCTAGTTCCTTTCTACAGAAAAAGCCAATTTTACTAGCATTTTGTCACCCGGAGCCCTCTGTACACATATACTTCCAAATTCTCAGACCAGTAAAAATGGAGGTTCATAAAGATGCTTTGAGAACTATAAACCTTAAATGCTTTTGTGAATCATTCATACAAATTAAATAGTGGCTGCTTTTTAACCATTGAGTAATGATTCCTATTTTATGAAAACTGGTAATTCATACTTAGAATGTCTAGAACATTTTGTTAACCAGAATATTTGACTTATGGGAGAATTTGGTACTAAATTGGCTAAAAATTGAGTAGCTAGCATCATGAAAATCTATGTACTTCAGAATTAGGGCGAGAAGGTAGCCTCCCAAATCTGATAATTTATTAACTATGTGACCTTCAGATCCTTTCAGTGCCCTGTGCCTTATTTCTCTCATTTATAAGTGAGGATAATGATATCTACCCTTCTAGGTTATTAAGCGTAAATGCAAGAGGCATTTGCGCATGCCTGGCACATACTTGCACATAGAAGACACTCAATAAATACACTGCAGTTATGATGACGATGATTAGCATCCTTTTAAATGCTGCTACCACCCATTGTGCGAGCTTATTTCTAACCCTTTCCTCCTCATTTGACCAGCCTCTGCCCACCCTTGCATTCTAGCTTCACACCCCTCGCCTGGAACACTGAAAGTTCTCCCAAATGCTATGATCAGCCCTTCCTTTTTCCCATACAGAGAATAAAGAGCGATTTGGGACTGTCTGAACCCTCCGGGGCTGGCTCCCCCTTCCACGGAGACACCGCCCCTGCCTTCGTCTTGGTTCGTCCCATCATTTCCTCTTTCTCTGGGCCAGACCTGGATAAACTTGCGGTTTCCTTCCTTCGTGCTCTCTGGAGAGCTGAGTACTGCACACTTGAAAGCCTAAAAACTTGTCATTTCCACCTTGAACTAGAGGCTGACCTCGCCAGACAGCCTGGGAAATGAATTAGTGTCCTTAAGCAGAGGCAGAATATGAGCAGTGACCCAGCTCTCGTAGGCAACTACGGAAACTGTCAGGCGGTAGTTAAAGTTCCCTTTTTCCCAACCCCTTTAATTATGTTGAAAACTCTGTCATATTGTTTTTGAAAAAGTTAATGAAATAGTAGGTAAAGGTGAACCAAGGAACATAATTTACTTGGATTTCCTTGCAAGCTTTTGATAAGGTCCCCCATAAAAGACCATTAAGGAAAATAGATGGCCAGAGGGCTCTGGGCAAAAGTCTTTTTGGTGTATTAAAAACTGGTTAAGCAATTTTAGAAGGAAGAATCACTGATGCTGGTTACTTCTTGGAGTAGAGAGAGGTTAATCACAAGCTGTCCCCACTGTTAGTATTTGGACTTGAAGTGTTTGAATGATTTATAAAAGAAAAGAAAGCAAAGTTGGTCAAAGTCACAAAACAATATCATAGTACAAGCTGTCCAGGGTGTCTGGTAGGAATGAAGTTTCCTTGCCCATCAACCAGGAATACGGTCCTTGGAGGTAACAGCTGGAGGCCTACCCTGAAGATGAGCCCTCTGAAGATGAGAACGAAGCTCTGAAAACCTTTCGGAGAAAGAGAGAAACATTCGTAGCCCAAGCTCAGCCAGGCCTGGGGCTGAAGGGCAGGACACAGTGACCTTACAAGTGTCCTTCCCACCCTTCCAGCAGATGGTGGCTTAAAGCCATGAAAAATCAGAAATGAGTGGCATGGGTGGAAAGCAGTTAAGCAATATGAAGACACCATTTTGCATACTTTTCATTCCAAAATTGTAAAAGACTAATTCTATTGGTAAAGGAAAGCCAAAGGAATGTCACGGGGGCTAAAATATTAAACACTTCTTCTGAGTAATCTTTGTATTTGACTTGATGCAGCAGAAGATAAACAAGAGATACTGAGGACCTGTTTACTGCCTACTGAAGGGGCAACAGAAGTGTTTCACTTTTTACAAAAGAAGACAGACCTTCCTTGAAAGTGCTTATAGTCTAACAATGTAATTATTCTCATATAACGGTCACCTCCCCCCACCCCAAATATTTTCACTGCAAAAGGAAACGGAATTAAACAAATATCTGGATGCAGATGAGGCAAATCCCAGGTCCTCTCCTAGCCATGTCCCTCATTAATCTTCATGACACTTCTTATCGTGCCCCACTTGTATTTCTTTAAGATCAAAAAGTCCAAAACCCAAAAGTTATGCTGCAATCAGGGGCAGAGTGAATTCTAATTTGTATTTGCCCAAACTTCTTTTCTTTTGCCCAGTCAAGTAGTAACTCTAGTTCCTGCATAGGGTGCCATTTACACAGTAGGACTGCATTTATTTTGAGACAAGGACACAGAGACAGAATGTGTTCAATAATACATTGGACATTAAAATGCTCTCGAAGAGTCCACCAGTGGACCCACATGAATATAGTCAACTTACCTTTGAAAAGATGCAAAGGCAATTCAATAGGGAAGGGATAGTCTTTTCAGCAAATGATACCAGAACAACTGGATGTCAATATGCAAAAAAAACCATGGAGAAGGAAATGGCAACGCACTCCAGTATTCTTGCCTGGAGAATTCATGGATGCAGCAGCCTGTGAGTTACAGTCCATGGAGTCGCAAAGAGTCAGGCACAATTTAGCGACTAAACGATAACGATGCAAAACAAAACAAAGCAAAAAATACCCTCTATACATACTATATACAAAAGTTCACTCAAAAAGGTTCATAGTCTGTAAATGTAATTGCAAATTTATGAAATTTCTAATAGAAAATACAGCAGAAAATCTTTACAACATTGGGTTAGTTGCAAAAAGCTCTTTGATACAATAGCAAAAGCACTATCCACAAAAGAAAAAAAAGTGGATAAACTGGGTTTGATGGAAATTCAAAGCCTTAAATCTGAATTCATAAACAGAAACTGAAACAAAAATCAAAGCTTCCATTTTTCCAACCAGACTTGGAAATCTGTATCTTCCCTCGGGAACATACAAAGCTGAGTGAGCAACCAAACTGAAAAATGGCAGCTTCTCAGCAAACTTTTCCCCAAAATGGGCCAGGCAGAAACCAGTGACCCTTGCCTCTGTTTCCCTAGTCATTCATCAGCTGTCATAGACTCATCTCATGCACAAATGTCAGGGGCAGGGCCAAGTGTACGGCATCTGTGTCCTGCCAGAGTCTCATAGAGGGACCGATAGAGAAGGTGTAGTCAGTACATGTTTGAAGAATAAAGTAAAGAGGAGGAAAGCGAAGAAGTAGGAGAAATACACTCTGTGAAGTGAGAAGGGGGTGGAGGAGAGGGAGGAACGGAAGAGAAAAGAGGAGAGGAGAGGAGAGGAGAAGGGAACACCAGAAAGAAAGAGAGAGGAGGAAGAAGGAAAAGGAAGAAAAGCTGGGAGAAAGAAAAACGTGCCTCGGGTGAAGACCACGGGGACAGGTGCGATTGGGGAGCGACGGGGGGGTGTCTGGTACGGGACAGGGGCAGCCATGGGCCACCAGGCTGGCCATCCGAGCCCTGGTACCCCAGCCAGCCAGCGGTGCTGTGGCCAGGCCAGGCCAGGCGCCCTGAAGTCACGGCCACTCTTTGTCTCTCGCTCTCCGACACCGTGGATGTCAGCGGCCATCGTGCGGCCCAGCACGGGGCCAAGTCAGCAGCTGAGGCGGGAGCGGGCGGCTGAGGCTGCTGGCTGGGGCCTCTGGGTCCGCTCCCCGGCTCCCCGGCTGTGGGCCCGGGTGCCGGAGCCAGGGAAGCCGGGTCAGGGCGGTGAGGAGCCGCTGGCACGGCCCGGCTCCCGCATTCTCGCCTTCCTAACGGCCCGGCCTTGCTGGGGAAACGGGAGGGGCCGGGCAGCCAGCAGCCGGGAGTGAGAACTTGCCCTGGCCAGAGCCAGCTGCTGGCTGCCATCTGGGCAGGGGCAGTGCCAGTTTCCCAAATCTGCCTTCCCTTTGGAAAAGAGGGGAAAACTGTGCTGGGGAGATAGCTGCTCCTTCCATCCTGAGGCTCTCAGTTAAAAACCCCACAAAACCAGCCTTTGGGAAAAGAAGAAATGCCACAGGCTGGGCTGTTTCCAGAGGAATTTGCTTCTCCTGGGGCCTTTACGTCCAATTAAAAAAAACAAAAAACCCTCTACTTGTCCTTCATTTCTCTTGCTTCTTTCGTTTTCCTTAATGATGACCTTGACTTTTAAAAGTTAAATCCGTTTGCACTCATAAAATGCCCATCTGCATGTCCTTTATCTTTGTCACGTAGTGATGGAATCATCCACTCTACACTGGAATTCCCTGAGGGATGTGATCTAGTCTTTTTAATTCACCCTCCACCACGAACAAGCCAACAGCTCCCTAAACTGTATCTGATGCTCGGATACTTTCTGGAAGGTTTATTCACTCATTGAATGCATTTTGAGCACCATTTAAACATCAGCACAGGATTGTCACGATGAAGGATTGAAGAAGATCTGGTTCCTGTTCTCAGCACTGAGCCAATTGAATGGACGCACCCCCTCAGGCTCTGGGGGACACCAGGGCAATGGGGACCTGCTACACTGTGTCAGCCCCGCGTGAGGCCCCACCCCGAGCCCTGTGCTTATTTCCTGGGCTACCTCTATGTTCCCAGGAGGCAGATGGGAAAAGAGTTGGCACCAGGCAGAGCACAGAACCAAGAAGAGCCTCTGCAAAACCAGCAGCAAACGAGCTTTTTCCAGGAGTGAGAGTCAGTACATATAATATGCAGCCCACTGTGGTCACTGACCGATCAAAGCAGATCCTGACTGGGGAAAATCTGTCACCTTCATATACACCGGCTGAATATGAATCCTGGCTTCATTTTTTATTATTGCCTTAGCGGTCAAATCCTTCTTCCGCATATTGATACCTAATCTCTTAGCAAAGAATGGAACCCACGCAACATCCCGCCATAGCAACTGGATGGATGCAGGGTTAGAAGCACTTCATGAGGACCTCAGGTTCATGGAGATCTTCATGGGGAGGCTTCAGTTTGACCTTCTTGACTTTGCAGACATCCTGGTTCCAAAGCAGCTCTTCACATGCCTATTGTTCACGAAACAGTTGAAAGAGGAAGGTTGAAATTCAGGGAAGGTCCTAAGAGTGAGGTTCACTCTCTGAAATAATAGGGTTCATCCCAGCTGATGGTTAGCCTGAGGGCAATCAGACCCCAAGAAAAACTGGTTCATGTTGTTCAAACTCATAGGAACAACAGTATCTTGCATTTCAAGCGTCTCCTAAGCACAGCACAAGTGTATTTAACAATAATGAAAAATACACGCAAATGCAGCTCACATGAACTTGAGTGTCCAGTGAGCACTCATTATTGGATAAATTTGAAAGTAACCCTCACCATAGTCCCTGAGATAGGCAGGGCAGGCATTATCAGTTCCCACTTGGTAGCCCAGCAGAGGTAAACACGTTGTCTCAGCTGCTGTAGTCAGTGGCAAAGTTAGATCAAAATTTAGATCTCCTGACTTCTAATCCAGTGCCCTTTCCATAAGTCAAATTACTAGCTGATAATATAAACTCTAGTATTCTAGATGATACCTACCTGAGAAATGAAATTAAGATCAGAAATTTCCTTGATGGAAACATAGATGAAAACACAGAAGATCAAGTGGTGAAGAGCATGGGCTTTGACTTCTGGTGCTGCCTTTGCCAACCACGTGATGTAGAGCAAGTTGACCACTCTCCGCAAGCCTCTGCTTTTTCATCCCTAGGAAAGAAACAGCACCTTTCTCACACAGTTGCTGTAAGGACTGAACTAGGTAATATAAGACCTTGATCACAGGGTTCAGCCTAGGGTAAGTGCCCCATATGTAATACAGGAAGTCCTCTACACATGAATGAGTTCCATTCTGAGAGTTCCTACTTAAACCTGTTAAGTAGGTTGCTATTATTGTCCCCATTTTACAGACAGGAAAATTGAGGCACAAAGAGGTCAAGTCACACATATAGGAAATGGCAGAGCCAAGATTCCAACCAGATGGCCCAGCCCCAGAACCTGGAAGTTACCTACTAGATGGCGTAGCCCTCTAATTTTAACAAAAGATCTGTCTCAAAGAACTGTGTGGACTTGTTTGAAAGAGTTTCTAGGCAGTTACCTTCCTGAGTCTCTTAAATCTTATGATGAAATCTCTCCCCTGCTTTCCTACCAAAACCTTGAGCAAACCTGGGGTGTCTTCCTAGAGGTTTCTTAAGCCTTAAGTCTTGAAGAGCCAGAGACACTAAAAGTAACTGATTTTTTCTAGAGTCCTCAGCCATAGATTCTTCACCAAAATCAATTTTCTAAGTGTTTATGAAGACAGATCTTTCTGGCACACATTGGGCTGAGATATTACTTAGAAGGTGTTTAGGCTTACAGTTAAGGAAGACAAGACAGTTGCTAATACACATGGATTTCCAGTGGACAGGGGGTTCAGAGAGAACCTATAATGATCACAGTTATGGAGGAATCTTTGTTCCGGAAGGAATTAGGTCTCGTGCTGCAAAAGCAAACCTTGAGGGAATATAAGCGGAGACTTAGACAATCGTGAAAAGGGCAGGCAGAGTGAAAACAGGTTTGTTCACAAATCCCAAAACCCTGAACCCAGGGGACAGCTTCTGGTTTGAAGGAGGAAGTTTCAGGACAAATAAAAGGTAGTCCTACTTAGAGACACAAGCAGTCCCAAGAGATGACGTGGGGGTGAAACCATATATAGTTTCATAATGGTAGGGATGCTAGAGTTGATAGCATGTGCTAAAGGGAAGTTTGGGGTGCTTAAGTCGCACTGTAACAAAGGCTGCAATGATACCTTGCTTCTGAATAGAACTCGATGTTTCATATACACCCAGGCCCACCTGGGGTCTCATCAGGGACCTGGGAAATTGTCATGGCTGCTTTCTCAGGCCCACTTTATGTAACAGGAAATGAAAACTCTGAGACATTATGTGTCTAGTATTTTAGCACAGGGATCGTGTCAACTTCCAAACGGAAGTTGAACTTGGCTTCTTGGGCAAGTGAAGGCATCTGGGAACAGCACAATCAGATTTTGCCATTTTTCTTTGAACCATCAGGATCCAAGAGGACCTTGAATAGAAATTTTTCTGGACCAGACCAAGCCTAGCCATTCACAGGACAAAACGTCCTGCTCACAAGCCCTTCAGTCTCCCCCATTAAGGCTATCCTCTCATGCATAACAGGCTCACGTGAAGATCTCATGGGGAACTAGGCTGTTGATTTTTTTAAAAAATAACACAACCTATGAATTTTATCTCTTTATCTCCTCAGTCCAGAGGGAAAAAAAGGGACACAATCTGTCCTACCAGTGGGACATCCATCTGATTAGATGTCATAAAACAGAGTAGTCCTTTAGTCAATAATGGCTGGAATACCTCCGACCCACAGTTACTGGAAAGGAAAAAAAAAAACCTAACTACAGATAAACTCCCTAGGGTTTCAGATCCATTTTGCAATAAGCCATGTTATGAAGGAAACCTGGCCCCAAAAGATAGTTTGAATGCAAAATAAAGATAGTTCACCTGCTTTGAAGCAGATACAGGGCTCCTGTGGAAGCAACAGAATCATATTTTCGGAGGATCATTATATTTCCTGCTTCAGACTTTATTTGGGTCCCACCGTTCTTTTATACAACTCCTATTTTTAGTCATCAGAGGCGCCGGGTCCCGCCAGGCAGGGGCCTCAACAGGGCAGGGCTGGTAGGAATGGTGCGGGTTGGATGCCTGGGGAGTCAGAGAGCTGGGCAGACAGGGGGCAGGTGAGCTTCAAGGAGCATGTGTGGCCCGTGGGGCAAGGGTCTGGGGACACTCAGGGAAAAGATTTAGGGGGTGCACCCTGGGTTTAGGGAGCTGGACTCCAGGGTTCAGGAGGCCAGTGAATTATCAAGAAGAGGCTGGAATATTGACAAAGCAGAGGTGGGCAAGAACCCTTTGAGATACCCCATCACAAAAAAATGGGAGGGGCTTAAATGCATGGGCTTAAGAACCTTGAAGACATTATGCTAAGTGAAATCGGAGGACAAATACCATGAAATTTATCAAAGGTTTCTAAAATAGTCAAATTCATAAAATCAGAGAGTGGAATAGCAGCTGCTAAGGGGAGGAGGAAGTGAAGAGTTACCAAATGGTGGTTATAAAGTTTGGGTTGAGATGACACATAAGCTCTGGAGATCTGCTGGACAACATTGTAACTTACTTAAATATATACATATACATGTATATATATGTATATCTTAACAAAGTGCCTGCATGCTCAGGCCCTTCAGTCGTGTCTGACTCTTTATGACCCTATGGACTGCAGCCTGCCTGGCTCCTCTGTCCATGGGATTCTCCAGCCAAGAATACTGGAGTGGGTTGCCATGCCCTTCTCCAGGGGATCTTCCCATCCCAGGGATGGAATCCATGTCTCTTACATCTCCTGCATTGGCAGGCAGGCTCTTTACCATTAGCACCACCTGGGAAGTCCCTCTTAACAAAGTACCTATACTTAACACAGTTAACAATTCTGTACTATAAACTTAAAGATTTGTTAATAGAACAGATTTTACATCAAGTATTCTTACCAAAATCAAATGCAATTTTTAAAGAATAAATAGAAATGCATGAGTTTCAGAAGCGGAGGTGCGGGATGAGTCTGATCCAGGCAAGGGCAGATATGGCAGGCTGGCTGGGAAATTCCTACAACCAGGCCATCAGAGAGGAAAGAAAACACCTATGGTCACTAGAAATTATCGTATAAGAAAACTGTAATCTTCACTTAGGCTTCACTCGGACTTCCCTGGTGGCTCAGATGGTAAAGCGTCTGTCTACAATGCCAGAGACTTGGGTTCGATACCTGGGTCGGGAAGATTCCCTGGAG